CCCCCCCTCCCTTTGGAATGGCCTAAAGACACTTCAGTCAGTGGCACCGCCCCGGGGAGTAGTCATATGAGCGCCAGAAGAACAGAGGTGTTACAAGAGAGTAACAAACATAAAAAAGAAGAAGGGGAGATAAGGACTATAGATGCTTCATATACATGTAGGAAAGAAGAAGCAGACCACAACAGAGAACCTGCCAACCACCCACGGATTTTCCCCCGCAGGGAGAAGGGTTTCTTCCTCTTCCTTAGTATTGTCTTTATTAGAGTGACCGTTTCACATTGGTTTTTTTATTAATTCAGAGCTACATCATTTGATTTCTTTTGTTTTCGTGGAATTCTCGCTAGTTTTCTAAGAATTCACATTTCTGCTGCCTCGAATTTATTTTCGCTATTTTTACTTAATTAATTAATTGTTCAACATTCGCAGTCGTATCGAGGGACTGACCACATATTGTTCTTACTTCGATAGTCCTTGTAATATTTTTAATTTGTTGTTTTGTTTTGTATTTTGGGTTTCTTTTTAAATGTATATCTATTCTTTTATTATTCTTTATAAATCATGCGTCTACCACTATCGCTGTTTGTTTGTTTGTTTTTTGTTGGTGGTGGTGGTGGGGTTTTTTTGGTAATTGTCCAGCTTTTGCAGCCTTAAGATAAGATAAGATAAGATACGATCAAATAAGATCAGATAAGATAAGATCGGATCAGATAAGAACTTACCTAGTAGTTTCTCGTACGAATGTTTTTGTTTTATAACCCATACTTTTACTACGACTTACTTGCAGCCGCTGCAGAGCCCGTGTCTACAGCTGTCTTCGCCCTGGCGTTCGCGGACTACGTCAGTGATTCCATCTATGACGACTGTGGCCCTCCCAGACCTGTGGTCATCGTCATTGCAACACTGACCACCTGTGAGTACTCTCGTGTGTCTATGGATGTTTGCTTCCTATTTAAAAAATGTGTTCGTATGTCTTTGTGCGTTTGTTTCTTGAGTGATAAATGTGTTCGAATGTCTTTGTGCGTTTGTTTCGTAATATATGTGATAAATGTGTTTGTAAGTCTGTGTGTGTTTGTTTCGTAATATGTGGGATAAATTAGACAAAATTAAAACTAATGAACACATGTAACTGGAAGTCCAGGTTTTGCGTGGTATTTGTAACAGCTCTGTTTTCCAATCTGTTTGAAAATATCACCAGAAGATACTATTTATTGTAAAGACAATAATATTATTGTCTTTTCATTTGATGTTCAATACAAGTCCTTTCAACCAATGTTGATACACCCAAATATACGAGCGAACACACTTTTTCGTTTCTCTGATTTCGCACAGTTTGCAGAGCTTGTTTTTTTAAGGTCAATTGTGAGTGACCATATCTCTGGCGTCTCTTAACATAGATGAACTATTAATGTCTCAAATGGTTCAGAATGTATTCAGCTTTAAATTGGTATGCTACATGAGCAGGTAGTACAAGGCTATATCACGTTGATTGGGTGATTATATTTTCAAGTTTCTTTTGGACGCCACTGTATAGATACATGCATAATTTATAATATTCGAAACAGCAATACACATTGCTGTTTATTCCGACAGTAGCGTTATAATACGGGGTGTGCACTACGGCTGGATCCGGCGGATTGCCCGACTCAGTCGCCTGAAACTGAAAACAAACACGTTTGTTTTTTATAGGGGGTGCCCACATACGCGATCGGGTCGGGGTTTCAGTGCACACTACAGCCCCGCTGCGATTGTACCCGACGACCTGGAAGTTAAAGTAGAGAAACCTTTAACCTACCCGACCCGACCCGACCCGACCCGACCGGGGTACCCACATATGCGATCGGGTCGGGTCGGGTCGGGTCGGGTCGGGTCGGGCCCATCGGGTAGTCAGGGCTAGCCAAATTGAGGGCGCAAAGCGGCCATCGTGGCACAAACCGATCGACGCGATCGGTGACCTACAAAAACAAACGCGTTTGTTTTCTGGCCTGCGAATCGCGCGATCGGGTGGTTTGCAACCAATCACAACGAGGCTGAGTCAGGGGTCCATTTTGACCCGTGAATACATTAAGTAGGTACTCTGGCCTCGATTCGACTCATTTTGGAAGGAAATTTGCATCTTTAAGTACATTTTTGCTTCTTCACTGCACTTTACATGATCAGTAAAGTTGTATCTCATTATAATATGTTGTACAATAGCAGATTTGTGCTGAAAAACAGCAGAAAAAATGAAATCAAAGCACTTGACCTAGATCTACATCTAGAGCTAGATTATTTCGTTCTCAGGAGGGCTAAAAATAGGCCATGTTAGACCAAGAATCTAGCTAAGGACGTGTCTAGATCTACGTTCTCTAATGTTTAGTGCTACCAATGTTTCGCCAATTTTTAGTTTTCTCCAGACCTTATCTGACGGTCCACTAGATCTAGGCCTAGATTCTAGATCTAGATCTACATTTCGATTTATTATGTCGCTTTGCCTTTCCTGAAACAGTGCTGTAAATATGAAGCTTAATCTACCCTTTGCTGATGAAAGTTCTGATGGCCGAGTGAACAGTGTGTCTGCGTTTGAAACGCAAAATATTATTTTGTGAGCGTGGGTTCGAATCTCAGTTCCAGCTTTTTTTCCCCCCCTTCTTCTCATCCTCCCAACTTACCAACAATTTTCCCCATAATTATAATTTGTTGCTTCTTAGTTTTTTAAAGTGGTAAATAAATCGCCAGTGCTGTCTGTTGTTCTCGTAATCATAACACACTGGGCTAAAAATAGGTTTAACTGGTCTGATGTCGGTGGACGCGTATCTTTTTGAGTCGCTTCTACACCATGCAAAAACTTCGTACATTAGCCTGGCCTGGATATGATCTTATTTTGGTGGACGCCTAGACTAAAGTAAGTTAGCAAGCAAGCAAGCACTCACGAACACACACACACACACACACACACACACACACACACACACACACACACGCACACACATACACACACACACACACACACACACACACAGTCCAAGAGTACGGTAGGCATATTTTATGTATTCGTGGGTCAAAGGTCCAGCCAATCGTAGCCCGGGTTTACGCCTTCTGTGTAGCCGCATGTTGGTTAAAGGTTTCTCTACTTTAACTTCCAGGTCGTCGAGTACAATCGCAGCGGAGCTGTAGTGTGCACTGAAACCCCGACCCGATAGGCCCGACCAGACCCGACCTGACCCGACCCGACCCAAACGCGTATGTGGGCACCCTCTATTAAGCGACCGAGTCAGGCGATCGGCCCGATCGGCCAATCTCACCCGCAGTGGGCACCCCGTATAACCGACACACCACATACGCGCGTTGCACACCCAGTGCCCATTTAAACGGTCGGTTCGGTTCGGATCGGTTTGTTGGCCAGATTGAGGGCGCAAAGCGGCTATCGTGACACAAACCGATCGCCCGACTCGTCACCCAAAAAACAAACGCGTTTGTTTTCAGGCGACGAGTCGGGCGATCGCTTTGTATAATACGGGGTGCCCATTGTGCGGGATTGGGTCTGATCAGGGCGGTTTGCTAGCCAAATTGGGGACGCAAAGCGGCTATCGTGGCACAAGCCGATCGCGCCCGACTCCTCGCCTCAAAAACAAACGCCTTTGTTTTCAGGCGACGAGGCGAGCGATCGGTTAATATCCTTCCAACATCCCACGCATTGCAGGGGCCGGGGAACAGCGACTCATATTGTGCTATATCATTTGTTTTTTTACAGTTTAACATGGTGTCATCGGTTAAAATATATCGAATACAGCTAGACAAGTTACGTTACATTTATTCACTCTCCTTTTTAGTCATAAGACTTTTTTTATCACAGGCGTGATATTTACTTGAATAGTGACTCGACTGTTTTGGAAATAGATGCATGTTCTTCGTGCCCTCTCTCTGAATAATTTGTTAATGTAGTCTCTGGACTTTAATCACCACAGACATTTGCGGGATCTGCACATGTTAATAAAGAGAAGCTTTCAACCAAGTGGCCACATTGTACACTGTACAGCGACTGTGCAGTTCGAAGAGGCTTTGATGTGAGATAAAAGGCAGTAGGTGACCTTGTGCTTTTTGTCTCCCAGTGTTACCAATATCCCCACAAATTATTGCTCTATACAGGCTGAGAATGCAGTACTTTATGTGTGTGTGTGTGTGTGTGTGTGAGTGTGTGTGTGTGTGTGTGTGTGTCTGTGTG